GTATATATATCGTCAAAGGTTATTTTGAGAATTGGCAAATATTTGAGAAGTAAGAAGTGATCCTAACCCTTTAGACGGTTAAGATCAATTTTGATTGGTCAACAATTGCGGCTTTGGCTGGTCAATAATTATGGTTTTGACTGGTCAAAAATTGCGGTTATGCGAAAATAGATAGGGCAGTTTCGTAATTTTTACAAATAAACAGCAAATGGGTTCATATATGAACCTATGTGATTCACATATGAACTATATGTTCATATGTGAATTCGTGTACTTCACATATGAACCCATGTGATTCACATATAAACTAATTAACTGATTCATATATGAACCTATGGGTTCATATATGAATCAGTTAAATAGTTCACATGTAGATTAATTAACAGGTTTATATATGTATTACATGAGTTCACATATAAACACATTTGTTGTCTATGTGTAAAAGTTACAAAACTACCTCTCTATCTTCCGCATACACATGCGAGAGATTACCTGATGCTTCACGGTTAAAGCTACAAATATTGACCAGATGAAAAACTATGATCACTTATTTATTTCTTCAAAAATTTACCACTTCTCAAATAAACCTTTCCACATATATATATATATATATATATATATATATATATATATATATATAGAGGAGCGTTCAAATGCGAACCCTCTCCGTTTGTGTAAACCGTGTGAACCAATCTCAACTATCCATTTTCTTGATCAATGGTCAAGATTTGTAGGCTTTATTTATGGAAATTAAAAAAAAAATAAAAATAAAAATTCAGTTTATTTAATCAATAAGGGTATAATGGTAAACATAATTAACAATTCCTAAACTCCTAATCGCAATCTTTCATCAGAATCCCGTCTTCATCGCGAACATTCCCAAATCACTGCAAATGTATCACTTCTTCCCAATCGAATATAGTGTTTCCAAAATCATCGATCATCAGCATTTTGTAATGAAATAATTTTGTAATGAAACTATTTCACGTAAGAAACTGCATACAAGCAGATTAACTTCATATCGAACAAAATCCATTATGAATATTTTCATTACCTATGAATGTATTTCATTATATTTTTACATGAATTTTTTTCATTACATATTTTTACATGAAATTGTTTCACGTTAATTATTCCATTATGCACCCGTTGCATGATACATATATTTCATGCAGAACAAATCCCAATATGCACCTGTTTCATGATCATTCTAACCACT